TTTTCTTAGTAGTAGTCAGCTGAGTCACCCCTTTTGTGATTTAATTCCTTCCCAAATAGCAGAGAAAACTTAAGCAGATTTCCACTCTATGTCTGATGCCCAAAGCATTGCTCTCATCCTTAGAGACAGAAGGTCTAGAGATGGCTACATGGCCCTCTTATTTTCTCAGAGCTCAGAAAACATCTTTTTCCTTATTTTAGCAACATTTTTGTGGCACTGGAAGTTGAACCCGGGGCTTTGTACACACTAGGTGAACTTCACCAGTGACTACAACCCCAGGTATTTTTTAAAATTTCTGATACAAGGTCTTGATAAGTTTCCCAGGTTGGTCTCAAATTTGTAATTCTGCCTCAGCCTCCTTAGTTGATTGGGATTACAGGCATGTACCACTATGCCTGGCAAAGTTAGCAACTTCTATGTTGTTTCTAACTAACAGATAGAGGAGTTATTTCTAACATTGCCCACTCAAAACTGGCAGATATACTGCAGTCTTCTTATACATGGAGTTTGTCCTGGGCAGTACAGCTTTTGCTTTGAATCATGGGAATCTATCAACCCTTGCTAAATAGTTAAGAAAGCAGCCTAAGAGTAGAATTATATGCAAAGCCTTTCAAATCTTGTGTGCTGAAGCTGGCTGCAATTGTCTTGCCTGAGGCTCAAATGTCTCACTTAATAAATTCAATTAAAAAAAAAAAGAAGTGGAGAAAATAATAGTGCTACCTCGGATGTTTGTTAGGAGTTTACAAAGAGATGATGAATGTGGAGAGTTTAAACACATCCTGACACACAGTCAGTGTTCAATAAATGGTGTCTGTGTTTATCCATCCAAATATCTAACACAGAAATGAAAAACGGAAAGCCATATACAAGCCATTCAATAAATAGGCTTCATCATAAGTCATCAGCTGATTGTTGTGATTGGTGGCAGATTTAAAACATATTTTCAAATAATTGTGACATCATTCTGTGTAATGTCACACAGATAATAAAGTCACTGTTTTAGTTTATATTTTTCACCAAGACACTTTCTGTCCACAATAGTGTACTCCTACAGATATCTGGCTAGTCACAGTGGACTCTGATGTCTGTCTGTCTACATGACAAAAGACTTACATGGTTTAAATTTGGGTGGATGTTTGGAGAAAATTCTGAATTGAATTTTCTCCTTATGCTCATCTCTTTACATCAGGAAAGAAGATCAAGTAGGCAATAAAAGTGTTAGACTTCATATCATTACCAGCTTTTTTCTGTCATTTCAGTAAGAAATAAGCTCTTGGGGTAGACTTTAAAATAAGTAGACTTGATTCCACATTCCAGTGAAGACATCTCGAAGTCAGGACATCATGGGCAAGCCCTACTTTCTGCATTTGTAAAATAAAATAAAATCATCTCCTTCCTGGGTGTTTGTGAGGACAAAGCAAGATAACCCAGGCAGAACATTTGACATGTGCCTGCCACAAAGATAACACTTGGTGAATGCAGTCCTACTTAAGGCAGCTGTCCTGTTCTGTCTCTGTCATTGCTCCTGAGCCATTTTCTGACTGGGGCAACAGAACCGGGCAATGATTCTTGCTAAGGTGCCTGAATTTCATGACCATCTGTCCTACCTCTTCTGTCCTTCTTGTCCCCTTCCCCAACATGTCCCCAACTTCAGTCCCAGTCCCAGCCTATCTGAGGTCTAAATTCTCTGTAGTGTCTGCTCAAATCATACAGAGTTAGATATCCCTTTTGCATTTGAATGTCACTACTTAGCCGAGTTTGCTTAGGTTATTGATCTGTTTGGGCCTCAGCTGGTTCCTCTGTAATCTGAGGGTTATTCTAGAACCTAATGGAAAGGATAATTGGGGCTTCACTAATATATGTAAAGTTCTTAGCCACTTGTCCTTTGGCTAGCCTGGCAAATACAAACACACACACACACACATACGCACACGCACACGCACACACACAATTCACTGGGTGTTCAGATTCCTAGCATGACTACTTAGTAAACATTTACACATGTCCTATTCAGGTCGTGGGAATGCAGGAAGGAAAGGGTCAGACACAGGGATAGTAGTAGTAGCGGGAGTAGCACCAAGCACTGATTGAGCACCTACTGTGCACAAAGGACTATGTCCAGCTCATTACCTGTGCCATCTTCTTTGTCTCTCTTGTTATATCCATATTGCAAATGAGGGACTGAAGCTTGGAGAGCCCACATAGCCTGTCCTTTTCTAACTGCAAAACCAATGCTCTTCACCACCCCATCTCCCAGTCCCTGCCCTAACTAAATATGTCTGCAATCTAGTGAAGATGTCAAGTATACACTGTCTACCACCATCAGTGCAGATGGTGGTAAGGGCCACAAAAATAGAAGAGGAGGGGAGCAAGCTATTGCAACTGGCAAGTTGTTCTGGGTCCGCAGGGACAGCTTCAACCAGTTAAGGCAATAAAAGAATTGGGTGCTTTGTGCCTGAATTATTTGTATTTTTCTCATAAGATGTAAGACCTCGCATTTTTATGGCAAGTATTCTGATTTGTAAATTCAAGTTCAGCCTGGAATTTCAAACTGATCAGCCCACTCTGAGCTCAGGTCCAACCCGTCAGCCATGCTTATAAATTTTTGCTGTCAAGGGGATGATTTCTCTGGTCAGCTGCTTGGACCTACTACAGAGTCAGTGTGTGTGTGAGTGTGTGTGTGTGTGTGTGTGTGTGTGTGTGTGTGTGTGTAGAGAAGGGGAAGAGTAGTGAGGGGGCCAGGAATACTCCTCTAAATGCTGAGACCCAGCTCCTCACCTGCACAAATGACATTGGCGTCCTCCAGGTGCTGACAGTGGTGCCCAGCTTGGCCCACATGCCCCAGGGAGCCCTCACTGCCCACACACTGCACACTGGCCAGCAGGAACTTCCCAGAGCCTCCCCACTGCCTGGCCACACTGCAGCTGGCATCACACAACAGTGGCCTTGGCTGGGTCCCAGAGGTTGTCGTGCTTTTCCCCCTGTGCCCTGGAAAAGGACGTCCACCCAGCCTAAGCACCTTCCTGTGCTGTTCAGTAGCCTCACCTCCTGCAAAGATTTATAAGTGTGGCTCACAGGTAGGCTGGACCCAGGCTCAGAGTGGGCTGCTGGTCAGTTTGAAGTTCCAGGCTGAGCTTGAAGGTACAAATCAGAATACTTGCTACAAAAATGCAAGTTCTTACATTTTGTGAGGCAAAATACAAATACTTCAGGCACAAATCACCTAATTATTTCATTGCCTTAATTGGTTGGAGCTATCCCTGCGGACCCAGAACCACTTTCCAGTTCACATGGTCCCCTTCACTAGAAGCCCACATTTATTTTGTCATCCTGGGCCACAGAGCAGCATTCTGCCATACTCTCACAGCCAAGGCTTCCATCTCAGCACCAAGGAGGGAGTTTGGAAGCCCAGTGTCTCAGTGGGAGGCCGCAGGGTCACATTGTAAAGAGCATGGCACAGGAAAGAAAAGCCCTGTGGCCATTTCTGTAAATGATCCACCATAGGCACACTGTCTTAAAAGGGGGTATGGATAAGGAAGAAATCTTGAGATCCGTGGAGTAGACCTGGTGGGGAATGGCACGGGCTCCCTCATAGTAGCATAGATAGGGAGTAAGTTGTTAGAGGATAATCTTCAATGGGCAGAGGAGGTAGCTCTTATCTCTTGGCCCCACTGTTCTTCCCCCAGGAGGCTGGGTCCCTGTGAGGCTGGTAGGCACTGATGAACGTTGTGCAGGCCGTGTTGAACTTTTCTACCAGGAAGTCTGGGGGACCGTGTGCGATGATCTCTGGGACCTTCCACAAGCAAATGTCATCTGCAGGCAGCTGGGATGTGGCTGGGCCATTTCAGCCCCAGTTGAGGCCTACTTTGGGGAAGGTTCTGGGAAGATTCTCCTTGACAATGTGCACTGCAGGGGAACTGAGCAGCGCCTTGAGGAATCCACTCATGTTGGCTGGTTCTCCCACAACTGCGGTCATGGGGAAGACGCCAGCGTGATCTGTTCAGGTAAGTCTCCTCTACCCACTAGCTCCTCTCGTGGACTGATCCCAACTTTAGCTCTTCGCAAGAGAACATTTTTGAATGACAGTGTAAAAAAACTATTGAACATGAAACACTATGTTATTCACTCATAGAAAACATTTTCATCTTCCCTCTTTCTAGATGCTGAATATTCAGTGGTCACATCACCAGGTAGGGAAGATGATGTTTTGGGGTGCAGCTTATCCACACCTGAGGGAAGAGATTCTACTGAAAATCAGATGTGTGTTATTCTCCAAGCCAGTGGAGTGGTTGAGTGATGTGGAATGACCTGATTGTCCAGTGGGGAAGTGGATCGTACCATAGTAGTCAACTAGCCCAGCCTCATTGCTGTCTTTCCCCCACTCCACTGTGTATTTCACACTCAGAAAATGCATTCTCGGTTTCTAAGACTTCTGCAGAGCACTTTTGGTTTGTCAGCTCTGAGGCTCACAGAAAGACAATTTGATTCGGATGGGTAAGGGGGTGGTTAAAATATGAGAGATGGGTAAAGGTGCTTCCTGCCTAGTACAAGTGGTCAGTGGGACAGATGTGGGCAAAGTCAAGGTGAGCCAGTCTCATCTCCACTCCCTCTTTACCCCTGCCGTGTTGCTGGTGCAGACCAGGCCCCACACAGATTCCTACAGAATGTGGGTTATTCCTATACACTCCCAGCCCCGAAACCTGGAACCCAGGCCCCACACAGATTCCAACAGAATGTGGGTTATTCCTATACACTCCCAGACCCCAAACCTGGAGTTTCCCATGCCAGTGTTCTCATCTTCTCCCTCTCCTTTGCCCTCTTCTCCCCTACTTCGCTTCCAAGGTCACATGACACTCTGCTCTTAGCCATTCCTCAGTCAGAGAGTGAGTTACGACTAAAGCTACTTAGACAGAGCTTGATAAAACTTCATTTACACCCCCTCTTGGGTTGTCAGTTGGGAACACATTGATCTAGGAGGAAATTTCCAAAAGGAGGTGCTAAGCTGAATGTCACTGGTGGGGAGATGTAGGAGGAGGAATGTGTTAGTTTTCCCCGTGACAAAATACCTGACATAAATCAGCCTTAAGGAAGAAAGATTTATTTTGATTCATAGTTTCAGAGGTTTCAGTTTATGGTCAACCAGCTCCTTTGCTTTCGCCTTGTGGCAAGGTCAAAGCATTATAATAGGAGGGCATGGGCAGGGGATTTAGCTCAGCGGTTCTGCTGTCTGCCTCGAAAGCGCAAGATCCCCAGTTCAGTCTCTGGTACCAAAACAAAAACCAAACCCACCGAAAACAAAACAAAAATCCTAATAGTAGGGCATGGCAGAGGAAAGTTACTCACTTCATGGTGAGCAGAGAGCAGAAAGAGAGAGGAGGGGCCAGGGACAAACGTACTTCAAAGACACACCTCCAGTGACCTACTTCCTCCAAGCAGGCCTTACCATGTAGTTTCCACCACCTTCCAGTTCTGCCATCAGCTGGAAACCAAGCTTTCAGAACATGAGCTTTTTTAAATTTTTCTTTTTATTAGTACAAGTTTGTAGTACATAATGATTACATTCATCATGGGGATTTAGTATGCTTACGTAACACATCTTAATTTTTTATGTCCCCTTTCCCTCTCCTTCCTTCTCCCTTCAGCTCTTGATTCCTATTCTACTTGTAAAAGATCTATCTCATTCCCTATTATCTCTCTCTCTCTCTCGTTTTTGCTCTTCAATTTCTTTATACTTTGGGTTTCTTACATGAGAAATTATGTGATATTTAAACTGCGTGTCTGATTTATTTCAGTTAACATTATGGTCTCAAGATGTGCTCATGACATGAACTTTTAAGGGACATTTCAGATCCAAATCATAATAGCACCCATAGATTTAGTCATTGGGTCACTGGGTCATTGGAAGAGGCTCTAGGAGCCATAGTTTCATGGCTTTAGCTTTATAAACTCTCAATTTAAAAATATCTCACTTTCATGTATGACAAAAGAATAATTCCTCACCATCTGGGAAGGATCTAGGTTGGTGTTTCTTGCCTCTTATATGTTAGTGTTTCCTCCACGCTCAGGCCTCTCCCCCAGAGGCTTGACTCAGCAGTTCTGAAAGAAGCTGAATCAGTGTGCTTGTTACAGGCTGCTCGGGTTTCCCATGTGCAGAAAGGGAAGCAGACCTCAGAGTCTGCCTCCAGTCCACATGCCATTTTTGTTTTGGCAGGTCGCCCAGTGGCTGTCTTGGCAGCAACAATGGCTACAGGTGAGAACCTTGTGCGTGTCCTTAGATGCCCTGTTCACTGTCTTATAGCTGAAGCTTTGAAATGATTCTTCCAAAATATGTGCCAGAATACCACTGCTTGGTCAAGATCACTCCTCTGAAACGGTATTCTGGGTAAAGGACCCAATAATAAAAAACCAACTGATTTCAAGTTCCAATTCTATGTCCAGTTAGTCAAAGAAGAAAATCCCATTTATTGATATGTAGCCATTGCTGGAATGATGTCGCCAAGGTGGTACCCAAGGCCGTGCTGGTATAGTTTATCCACCGTAATGAGCCCATTCTTTCCATCCTTTCCTTTTCTCCGACAATCTCAGTTCTCCTTCTCCAGACTTCCTTTTATCTGCCATTTTTTATCTGTTTTGCCTGTTCTTTGGGCTTCTAGAAGCTCCACTGAACTTTTCTTAGCACCACTCGGAGATAAAGGACTAAAGAAATACCGATTCTTGAATAGCCTGGATGGTCCTTTCGGAGAAAAATCACAGTCTGACCTCCAAGGCCAATCAAGTGTTAGTACACTTTCCACACAGCCAGATAACCTGCTGCAGAAAAGCCAGGTATTTCCACAGCTACTGGCATCACCTTTCATTTCAGTCTGAGTGTTGGACAGATGGCTAGACAGATAAGCAGATGAAGAAACAAACAGATGGGTGGACAGGCGGACAGGAGGTGTGATCAGTGTTACGGATACTGGAGTGCTGGATTGCTGAGGGCAACTTCTTTCTACTGAATACTAGATTTTTAAGAATGTAGTTTTACAACGGATGGTGGGTGAAGCCCTACCATTGTCAGAAGGTCTCTGTTCAATCATCCTGAAGCAGGTCACCATTCACAACTACTAGTGACACAACAACAACAACAACAAATACAGGACTCACAACTGTGGAGTAACAAGAGGGAAAGGTTCTAGCCAATCCTAGTAAGCCCACGTCAGTGGTTACAGTCTCAAAAGAAATAAGAGCTGTTTTAAGCTTCAGACAAGTTCAGGCCCAAATTTCCTAAGTTTTAAAGACTTCTTAGACTAATTTATCCCAAAGCATAGTCACAAAATGATGATTAATGAAAACTTATGCCCAAATTTCCTGTTTTAAAGACTTCTTAGACTAATTTATCCCAAAGCATAGTCACAAAATAATGATTAATGAAAACTTTTTTTGGAATAGTGGTGAAAATCAACCAAAAAGGTATGAATTACAAAATTATTAAATGGAACAAAGAAGAAAACAAATTCTAAAGTATCTCTCTGCATTTAGAAACATATCGGTGTGGTGGCACTATTACTAACTCATCTGGAGCGATTCGGAATCCCCCAAAGAACGAAATGCATGACAACATAACCTGCATGTGGGAGATCAAGGCCAATGCGTCTGATCACATACTGCTGGCCTTTCCGTATCTCAAGCAAGTACTAAACTCACTAAGTACTCTGGGCAGTTTGAATTCTACTCACTTATTCTCTTGTGGATTCACCTAAGCAAGAGTCCTTTGTGCATTTTAAAGTTTTTATTTTTAAAATAACTAGACACATAGGATACAAAAGTATTACTGTAACTATAGAACATTATCAAAACCTGGAAGTTGACACTGGATAATGCTCTTAGCTAGACACAGACCCTATTCAATTCCCATCCATTTTACATGCACTTATTTGTGTGTGGGGGTGGGGGGATCCACTCAACTTTACCCCATGTGTAAGTTCATGTAATCGCTACCATATTCCAGATGCAGACCTGTTACATTGCCACAAACCACTGAAACTATATTCGTCAACTGCCCCCTCTGTCCTCTCAGATTGTAACTGTCTCTACACTTTGTTGTTTTGATAATGTTATGTATGTGGGATCATATGCTGCATAGCTTTTGGAGATTGAAATCTAGCACTCAGGATGATTCCCTTAAGATGTATCCAGGCTGTTGTGTGCATCTATAGTTTGATCCTTTTAACTGCTGAAAAGTGTTCCATTCATATGTTTGCATCAGAGTCTGTTTAATCCTTTCCCTTCTGGCAGACATCTGGGTTGTTTCCAGTCTTGGGCTGTCACGGATAAAGCTTCTATAAACACTCTCATATAAGCTCTTATGTGGACGTAAGTTTTCATTTCTCAGGGATAAATGCTAATGAGTATGATTACTAGATTGTATGGTAAGAACACATTTAGTTTTTTTACAACATGCTGAACTCTTTTTCAGTAACTTCCATTTCACATTTCTAGCAGCAGCATATAAAATCGTGTTTCTCCACATCTTAGCTGGATCTGCTATTTTTTCTGTTAGTTGTTTGTATACAAATCTTGTATATGTTTTATTAGATTTATATGTAGATATTTCTTTATTGGTGTTGTAGTCACAATAAATGATAATGTTTTTAGTTTCAATTTCCACGTTTGTTGCTCCTATATAGAAATATGATTGATTTTTGTATACTTCCATGGATACTTAATTAAAATGAAATTCGCCTTTAAGGGCTTTGGCGGGGTGTGCTTGTGTGTACAAGGAGAGACACGGAGACAGAACGATAGCCCATGTGTGTCCTGGCCAACTGGTTGAAGATGCAGATTCCACGGTACCCCCAATCCTATTAAGTCAGGAAATCTGAGATTTTAAATAGTAACTACATACTATTTATTTCATTCGTAATGAGTGGCCTATGTTAATTAACCACGAGGAACAACCTAAATTATTTTTACTTTTGAATTTTTCTTAATTGAAAGATGGCTTGGAAAGGTTGACTCTTACAGTTGTCACATGGAGATGGTTTCTACATTCACAGAAAACAGACATGGAAAAATCAGATGACTTCCACAAAGGGATCTGGGCAGAATTAACACCCACTTCCCTGTAGGCAGGTTACTGCCAAAAGCCTGTCAATGGGCTGTTGGAACCTGGAACTCTATCCCAGGAGAGGTTGATCAGCCTCCCACAGCCCATTGCCCTGCTATTTCTCACCCCCAGATCTCCATGCAGTGAAATTACCTTGATTAGCTGAGCCCTGCCATTGGCCCAAAGCTGTGAGGTACCTTGAGGCCTCAGCTGACCTGAGACCCTTATTGGGGTTATACTTAGAACCAGGCTCCTCTCTCCTCCCTCAGATAAAATCCTATTTCCTTAGGCAATGACTCTCTCAGAAAAAAAGTAGGATAAAAGTATCTATACTGCTTCTGCCTCACTGATGGGCTTTCAAACTGTTCCCAGCCTCTTCACAGTCACATAATAAAAAACATCTCACAGTGTGCCTTCTATACCTTCTGATGAAGAGACTAAGCATGCCTGGGTATTTGCTTCTTTAGCCTTGACTGCACCAGTGAATATTTTGAAATCCTGGACGGCCCTCCATCTTCAGCAAAGTCTTTGGGGAAGACCTGCTCTGGTTTCTACCTCACCTACTCGTCCTCCTCTAGCTCAATGACTCTTGTGTATTTCCGAGGGTTCAACAACATAGGGAAAAACTTCATTGCTTACTATTATTCTGCAACCAAAGGTAAGTTGGTGAGAAACCATGCCTCTGGACTGTCTGCCTGGACATCATTACTTGCTCGGTGATTGGACAAGGGACTTGACAACTCTTGCCTCTGTTTCTTCCATATATTGTGAGGCTAACAGGAGAAGCATACTTCCTAGGTTTGCGGGGGGGTTACATGCAATGACACAGCAAAGCATTTTTGCAAGATGTCCACCTTAGTACATCCTAGGTGTTTGATAACTGGCAACTTTATCATGAGCTTCCTAATTGGACACAAACATCTCTTCACAGCCAGCTCATTAGGGAATACTTTCTGACATTACTGTGAACCTAGACTGGGCATTTGAGGATCTGCAGAAGAGGAGGGTGCAGTCCCAGGCTAAGAGAGGTTTATGCACAACCTAACATAAATTTAGGACAAATATACATGATGCAACAGAAGACAAAAGGAATCCACTGGGTTAAGGCAAACAGTAGGACATATAGAATATATTAAATTGGCACATGTATGCATCTCAGCAAAAGGGATTAGGAAACAGAGTTTGCAACACAGGCTGCATTGATTAATAAAAACCTCAGGGGAATTTAGCCTTAAAGCTGGTGAGGCCATAAGTAGAGAAACAGGAAAAGGGCAATCAGGAGAAAGAACAGTATGAGCCTGGAAATGGGAAGTACAGGGTGTGTGCCATGAAACAGACAGAAGCAGAGCTAAGGGTTTTTGTTGAAGGACAATGTGCCCAAGTTAATAACAATAACAATAACTCAGGTTGGGGATTTACCTCAGTGGTGCCACTGCCTGACTTGCAAGCACAGAGTCCTGAGTTCAATCCCCAGTACCAAAATAATAATAACAATGATCAGAATACTAAAAACAGCAGCTAATGTGTGTTGAATGTCTATCATACACCAGGCAACATTTTAAACTCTTTGGATGTGTTACAATAACACGAATCTATGGTTATTCCTCCTTGACATATGGGGAAACTGAGGCTTGGGATGTTCAGTAATTCCCTGAGGTTCTGCACTACTTACCACCAAGAGAAGGTAGAGCTCATAGAACTGCAAAGGCCTTATGTCTGCTTTGTCCAAGATGCCATTAGAACAGTTGCCAGTGTCTTTAGAAAGTGTCAAGGTGACTCAGTGAGCAAGCTGGGGACACATGCTGAAAGAGCCAGGCGTGGAGGTGCACAGCTATAATCCCAGCACTCTGCAAGACTAAGAGGATTCCAAATTTGAGTCTGGCCTGGCCAAATTAGTAACTCAGGCCCTGTCTCAAAATTACAAAAAAAAAAAATTAAGAGTTGGAGATGTAGCTCAGTGCAACATCCCTGGGTTCAATCCTCAGTACCACAAAAAAAATAAATAAATAAAAACCGGAGGAGACACTCTGTGTCACAAAGAGGATCAAGAAAGGATCAGATAAAAATCAATATAATTGGTATTAAGTAGTTACTAACAATGATTTTCTTATTTTGCAGAGTCAATGTCGAAGTCCCCAAATCTAGTCAGTGAGTTGACTTTTGTGTTATTACTTAATGCATTCCTATTTCTTGTTTTTTCCTCTGTCCTCACTTCTAGTGCTTTTATTATCATCGTTTGATCTCTCCCATATATGTTTCCTGATTACATACATAAATCTATTGTACCTGAAAATTATGTCTGCATGGTTTTTGTGCAAGTATGACACCCATGCATACTGGAAACAAGTTATGCCTATCAACAGTTGGGTCTCTGTATATGAGCAATTTTTATTTGATCTCCTAATTCCTTGTCTTTATCAAGACAGTGAGGCACCCCTAGTGAAATACTCCACATCTAAGAAAAGTTAATAAAACAGAAGCAAGTTAGAAAAATGACTGTTTTCCCCAGCAAGATGCTGACTGCAAATGTTTGCATTTTAGCACAATTTTAAATATTGTTAAATTTGCAGTGACTAGGAAGAATCAGAGAATATCATCTTAACTGTATCCCATACCCTTGAGAAACATAGGAGCTACATAAAAAAGGTTTGATTGGGGAGATCATTTATCATGCAGGTGAGAGGCAAAAGGAATCAGCCAGAATCTGGGCATACTGATTTGGGAAGGCTGTCTCCTGACTTGCCCACATCCTCCCTTTTTATTCAAGGGTGTCCTATTGTATCCACAGCCATCCCAATAATATCAGCCATCCAAACACCAACAGTGATTCCAACAACAACAGCCATCCCCAAAGCAACAGCCATCCCCAAAGCAACAGCCATCCCAACAGCAACAGCCATCCCAACAACAGCCATCCCAACAGCAACAGCCATCCCAACAACAGCCATCCCAGCAACAGCCATCCCAACAACAGCCATCCCAGCAACAGCCATTCCAACAGCAACAGCCATCCCAAAAGCAACTCCCAAGACATTAATAGCAAAGCCAGGTAAGCCCTGGAATGCATTTGTTATTCACCTGGTTCCTTGCCTCTCTGCATTTGTACCTGCTTTGTGTGTGGAAACTATACCAACTGTACCAATAGATAAAATAGTTTATCTATTTGCAAATGGGCCAGCTGACTCTACCCAAGTTTTTAGGGCTATTCAAAACTTTGGGGGATCTTCTGGCTCTGCATCCTAAGATGAGCAAAGTTCACTTTTCAGTGCCTCAGCAGCTTATAAATGCCTTGCAGTAGGACAGTCTCTTTCATTCTCATGTTAGCCCTGACCATAGCTAGCTCCCTGTCCATACCACTAGTTTCCCATCCATGGATTTCCATGTCAAAATCCAAACGATTTTTCCAGATGAGTGGAGTGTCAGAACCATTCCAGAGGCAGTGAGATAGAATACCTGAGGCAAAATAATGAACTTTGAAGTCAGGACACCTGAGTACAGATCTGCTACCTACTAGATGTGGGATTTGGGTTGAATCATCTTGCTTTTCCAACTTCTAGTTTTCTCATAGATAAAAATGACACATACCAATATAAATGAGGGTGATACACACACCTTTGAAAGTGTTTCCAGAAAAATCACAAATCATCACGCAAATTATATAAAATGTTTTCCTGCATTTACCCAAAACAGATGGCTATATAACTCTGCCAAAATAGATAATCAGTTATTGGATTTGTTTAGGCTAAATGTTGTTGACATGCCTAATGACACAGAACTCTGATTGTTGACTACTCAATTGACTGACTCCACCAGGTTCTCTGGTGTCTCTAACAATACTGCATGGTGGGGAGCTCAAGTACTTCTTGCCAGGGTGCCATGCTCCCAGAGGACAATCACCAGGTTTCCATTTGCAGAGGGCTGGCCAGAGCTACGGCTGATGGATGGTTCCAGACGGTGCTCAGGCCGCGTGGAGGTCCTCTACCAGGGCGTCTGGGGCACTGTGTGTGATGACCTGTGGGACCTCAATGAAGCTGAAGTTGTGTGCAGACAACTGAGGTGTGGCCGAGCCATCTCTGCCCTTGGGAAAGCCCACTTTGGCCCAGGGTCAGGGGAAATCCTCCTGGACAACCTCCAGTGTGCTGGAGTGGAGCGCTTCCTGGGCCAGTGCACCCACTCGGGCTGGTTGGAGCACAACTGCGGTCACCATGAGGATGCTAGTGTCATCTGCTCAGGTACCCTCTCCCCTCTCAGATGGGCACTGACAGCGCCAGAATTCTCCAGGACCATCCTGCTAGCGTTCAGAGTTAGCCAGGAACAGGGACAGTATCCGCAACTGTAGTGTTTGATTTTGCTGTGTGGTTTAACTACTGGCTTCCAAAATAAAACCTTCTAATTTTCTCATTTGGCAGTCAGAATTACCAGAGTGTGTGTATACTCTACTGAAACATGAAAAGCACATTTTTAATTAAGGGAGCTCTCAGAGCGCTTGTATAAAGGTGCTCTTGAAAAGAGGCACTCATTGAAAAGATGCAGTCAAGGTGGGCAAGACTTGAGAGGGGTCAGGCACGAACCTGGCTCTCAGAGCTGGTACTAGTATTCACACTATTGGGCCAATGTTTAAACACTCCAACTATTTGCTCTCCTGCAGGATTCCCAAAGGAAGCAGAGGTGTGTCTTGTAATGCACTTGCTTAGTAACTGACAAAGAGGCGCCAAATTTGACCATTCTTAAATAGTCATAACCTAAGGAAATCTGTTAGCTGAAGTTGCTAATTTTAGTTGCATTGTAGCAATTTTTAAAAATACCTACATTTGCTCATGTGCCAACAGCTGAGAATAAGTCACCTCCTGAATGTGTATTGATAATACTTTCTGGTGATGAGATGCCTTTTGGTAAACTAACAGTTGTAATCCTGAATGAGACTTGAAAGTGGTATTCACTACCTAGAGCTGCCCACGTGGGCGGAAGCTCCATTGTTTGTCCCTACCTGTGGCTATAATTTAAGATATATCTTTAAAAGTAGTGTCATGTGTGTTGGTATAGGTATGTGTTCACCCGTTGGCTTTCTGACACCTTACTGCAGTGGCACCTGTAACCTACTTACAAGACACATGGCCACAAGTTATTCCCAAATTTCAATATTCTAGAAGATGATTGTCTAACCTGAGCCCCGCCCCTACACACAAAGACCTCCAAAGTGAAACTTGTCTGCTATAAAATTAGTAGTGTCTCAGACTACCCCAAGTATATCCCTCCATATCTGGCCATTTTGTCAGAACACAGCAGCAAACCAATATCCAGATGAAAGCTTATTTTTATTTCTATATATGAAACTGCTTTTCCATGGTATTCACCCTAGAGCTGCCCACGTGGGCGGAAGCTCCATTGTTTGTCCCTACCTGTGGCTATAATTTAAGATATATCTTTAAAAGTAGTGTCATGTGTGTTGATATAGGCTTGTGTTCACCTGTTGGCTTTCTGACACCTTATTGCAGTGGCACCTGTAACCTAGTTACAAGACACATGGCCACAAGTTATTCCCAAATTTCATTATTCTAGAAGATAATTGTCTAACCTGAGCCCCCCCCCACAAAGGCCTCCAAAGTGAAACTTGTCTGCTATATAATTAATAGTGTCTCAGACTACCCCAAGTATATCCCTCCATATCTGGCTATTTTGTCAGAACACAGCAGCAAACCAATATCCAGATGAAAGCTTATTTTTATTTCTATATATGAAACTGCTTTTCCCAGTACTATGTACTTAAAGAGATTAATGCTTCCCATATTGGATTAATAAACATGTATAAAGATATAATTAAAACTTTGTCTTCAGTTGCTAAAATCAGGTTTCTAGAAAATGCTGACATGTTTATTTTCCCTATTTATAGATGCTGAAGAATCTGCATCTAATAGTACAGGTCAGTAGTACCTTTTGTTGGTGGGAGTTAAACATCAGACGGACACGACTTTCTCCTGAAGCCACTGTTCACTTCTTTGTAAACTGCAGAGAGTCAGTTACTGTTAACTCACCACTAGAAAGTCTTATTGGCATTAATTTTGATTTTTTCATGTGTGATAACGCCATTCTGTGTGTGCACATGTGCAAGCACGTGTATATTTTTAGAGACATGAAAAACTGCTAGCATGGTGATGCACGCCTGTAATCTCAGAACTTGGGAAAGTGAGGCAGAAAGATCACAGTGAGTTCGAGGCCAGTCTGACCCTAGCAGGACCCTGTCTTGAAAAGGGGGGAGAGACAGAGAGAGACAGAGAGAGAGAGAGAGAGGGAAGGAGGGGGAGGTGGGGAGAGGCGGGAGGAGAGAGAGAGGGAGAGAGGAAAACATGAAATATCATTTTGTGGTTCTTTTGCACATCTCCCCTTTAGCTCAAGGACTGTTCCCTGCTCGTCCCTTGACTAACTCCTTCTTGATACAGTGGTCACAGTGTGGAATAGTGCCCCGTACCCATGTCTACGTTTCACTAGCAAATAGGCTCTGGGCTTTCTGAGGGCAGAAATATTACCTCTTTGGTTTGTGGCTGAATTATCAGCACTGGATATGGAAGACAATCAATACATATTTTTTTTTCTAATGCTTAACTCCTCATGGAGAAGTGCTTTGAGTTTTATTTTTTATCTTTATTAAATTTATTGTTACATTTTAGGTATACAATACAGTTACGTTCATCATTGGGATTTTGTAACTTTACATGACTTATCTTGGTTCTTATTTTTCCCTATTCCCCTGCCCTCCCTTCAGCCCCTCCACCCTTTCCTGTGTATAAAGACATTGTTCCCATGTTTTTTTCCTTTCACATATTTTTTTCTTTTCCCTTTCCCCTACCCCTTCCATTCCCTCTACTCTTTTAGACTTTTCTTCCTATTACACAATATCAATTATAAATTTTGATCCTTTATACTTTTAGTTTTTCACACCAGAGAAACCATTCAGTATTTAAACATGTGACTTATTAATTTCACTTGAGTATGGCCTCAATGTGAATCCACTTAGATATAAATCTCTTTAGTTTCTCACTTTTTATGGCTGAATAGTACTCCATTTTATAAACACACACACACACACACACACACACACACACACACACACATCTTTATCCAGTCTCCAGTTGTTGGGCAATTGGGCTGTTTCCAAATTTTAGCTATCACAAACTGTGCCTCTATAAACATGGGTGAGCATATATTTCTGTGGTATGATTCTTTTAATTCTTTTGGGAAGATACCCAGCAGGAGAATAGGTGGGTCAAATGGAACTTCTAATCCTAGTTGTTTGAGGTATCTCTATATTGATTTCCACAGTGGTTGCACCAGTCTGCACTCCCACCAGCAATGAAGAAGGGTTCCTATCTCCCTACAACCCTGCCAATATTTGTTTTTGGTCGATTTCTTGATAGCAGCCATTCTTACTGTGGTGAGATGGAATCTCAGTGTTATTTCGTCTGCATCTCCCAAATGACCAGTGATTTTGAACATTTTTAAATATTATTATTTGCTGCTTTTGCTTCTTTGTCTGAGAAATGTCTGTTCATTTCAGATGCCCATTTTTGAATTTGGTCTTTATATTTGGGGGGGACTGATTTTTTTGAGTTCTTTATATACTCTAGATAGTAGGCCTATGTCTGAGGAACAGCTGATAAAATATTTTTTCCCACATTGTGGGTTGTCCCTTAGCTCTGTTTGTGGTTTCTCTGGCAATGTAGAAGCTTTCTAAAAAGATGAGATCCCAGTTGATTCTATGTGCTAGTTCCCATGCTAATGAGGATTTGTTCATAAAGTCTTTTCCTATGCCAATATCTTCAAGAATTCTACCTAACTTATCTCAGCTAGTTTAATGTTTCTGTTTTAATATTTAGATCTTTAATCCACTTGGATTTCAGTTTAGTGTGTGGTGAAAGATGTGGATCTAGTTTTAATCTTTAACAAGTTGAAATCCAGTTTTTCAAACACCATTTATTAAAGAAGCTATCTTTCCTCCAGTGAGGATGGTTAGCTCCTTTGTCAAAGATGAGGTAGCTGAGTATGTCAGGAGATGTTTCTGCATCTTGTAATCTGTTCCACTGATCCTCAAGGCTGTTTCTTTGCCAGTACCATGCTGTTTTTATCACAGTAGTTTCAAGCTGGGGGTTGTTATACCTGCTGCCATGTCTCTGTTGTCTAGAATGGCTTTTGCTATTCGAGGTCTCTTCTGATTCCAAATGAATTTTTGTATTGTTTTTCTCTAGTCCTATGAAATATACTGTTGGGATTTCAATTGGGATTGCATTGAATCTACAGAGCAGTTTTGGAAGTATGGCCATTTTCACAATACTGATTCTTCCTACCCAGGAACAAGAGATATCTTTCCATTTTTTAAATATCCTCTTCAACCTCTTTTTTCAGAGTGTTGTAGTTCTCAATGTAGAGGTCTTTTGCTTCGTTTATTAGATTGATTCCTAGATATTTCATTTTTTGGATGTTATTATGAAAGAGATTGTTTCCCTAATTTCATTCTCAGTGCATCTGTTATTTGTATACAAGAAAGCTATTGATTTTTAAGTACTTACCTTGTATCCAGCTATTCCACAGAATCTGTCAATGAAGTCTAGAAGTCTTTTGCAGAGTTATTTAGGTCTTCTATGCAGAGTATCATATCATCAGCAAGTAATGACAGTTTCACTTCTTCCTTTCCTATCCTATTGCTTTTATTTCTTTCTCTTGTCTAATTGCTGTGGCTAATGTTTCCAAAACCATGCTGAACAGGTGTGGTGATACTGGGCATCCTCGTCTTGTTCCTGATTTTAGTGTGAAGATTTTCGGTTTTTGACCATTTAGCATGATATTGGCTGTTGGTGTTTCAGAGAAAGCCTTTATCAGGTTGAGATAAAGACCATCTATTCCAATTTTCTGCAGGGTTTTATCATGAATGGGTGTCGAATTTTGTTGAATGTTTTTTCTGCATCTATTGAGATAATCGTATGGTTTTTTGTCCTTGACTCTGTTAATATAGTGTATTACGTTTATTGATTTATGTATGTTGAACCATCCTTGCATCCCTGGGATAAATCTGACTTGGTCAGGGTGTATAATGTTTTTGATGCCCCTCTGTATTCTGTTTGCCAGTATCTTATTGAGAATTTTTGTAACTATGTTCATTAGGGAGATTGGCCTGTAGTTCTCTTTTGTGGTTGGGTCTTTCCCTGGTTTTGGAATCAAAGTAATACTTGCTTCCAGGAATGAATTTGGAAGTATTGCTTCTCTTTTGATTTCATTGAAAAGTTTAAAAAGTAGTGACAGTAGTTCTTCTCTAAATGTCTTATAGTATTCAGCAGTGAAGCCATCAGGACCTGGGCTTTTCTTTGTTGGAAAATTTTAAGTACATTTTCAATTCACTAATTGTAATTGGGGTGTTTAAAATTTTTATGTCTTCTTCATTCAACTTTTGGTAATCTAGAAATCTTTCCATTTATTCTATGTTCTCCATTTGATTAGAGTACAGGTTCTCAAAGTAGGTACTGATGATCCTCTGGATTTCTGCTGAATCTGTTGTGATTTCACCATAATAAGTATTGTTGAAGTCAAATTAAATTTGTTGTAGGCCTCACAACTGGCAACTCGGGGACCCATGAGAAATGTGAGGAATAAGCCCCTAACCTTGAGATTGGGCATGTCCCTTCCTAGCTCTCCTTGGAGCCTGATGCTGCTAGACCCTCATGTAGACTTTTAGGGGCCTCACATATCACCTCTTTCTGCAGGGAACTGGCCAGATCTGCGGCTGGTGGGTGGCTCTGGTCAGTGCTCAGGTCGTGTGGAAATCCTCCACGAGGGAGTCTGGGGCACTGTGTGTGACGACCTGTGGGACCTCAGTGAAGCTGAAGTTGTGTGTCGGCAGCTGGGGTGTGGTCAGGCCGTTTCGAGCCCCGGTGAGGCCTACTTCGGCGCTGGCACAGGAGACATCTTCCTGGACAACCTCCAGTGCTCTGGGGTGGAGCATTTCCTGGGCCAGTGTACCCACCTGGGCTGGTCAGAGCACAACTGTGGCCACCATGAGGATGCTGGTGTCATCTGCTCAGGTATCTACTTAACCTCTCAAGCAAACTTTCTACTATTATCATATAAGACCTTTTGGAGCTCTTTCTTGGGTGAAATTCTCCTCTATCCAGCCATTCATCCACTCATTCTCTGAGTCTCTTCAGAGCTAGTCCCTGGGCTCAGGTACAGACCCTGCATGGACAGTTATGGGTTTGCATAGAGGAGGCCTCACTGTCTGTGGACACCAGCACACGTAGGGCATTAGAATACAGATTCAGAGCCATGGCCCCAGAGACTGTGACTATGTAGGTACTCAGGGGTCTTTATGTTAGCAAATAGCCCAGGGATTCCACATAGGAGCAGCCAAGGGTGATCCTGCCCTGGCTGTTGAGGGGCAGAATTGATCTAGCTGCCATGTCCTAGATCCCTACATCAAGGATTCTGCCAGAGGAGAGTTGAAGGTGCAGAGGGCAGTTCTGGTACTCTGGGTTCCAGTTTCCAGAAAGGACATGGTCCTGTCTCATCTCCCTCTGGAACCCTTGTCACCTCACCTCCTCCATACATTGGACTAAAGAGAGTGACCTGTTTGCTATCTTTGTTTTGTGCACACAGATGCAGAAGACCCGTCTCTACCTACACCTCCAGGTACGTCTATATTTTTTTCTAGTTCAAGCAACATTCCAATAACAACAACAATAATAATAAAAGAAGCACACATTGATAAATACTAAGTGTCAGGCATTGTCTTAAGATATTTACATATTCACAGATGCCCCTTGAATTACCCTGAAGTTAGTTGAAAATATCAAGAGTCAAAAAATTCATTTTGTACACCTGACCCAATGAACTTCATAGCGAAGTAGCCCAGCACACAGTAGAGGATCAGCTGTTCACCTTCATTACAGTGTGGCTGACTGGGAGCTGTGGGTCACTGCCAGTACCTGGCATCCCAAGAGAATAGCATACTACATATCATCAGCCCAGGAAAAAAATTCAAATTCAAAATTTGAAGTATGGTTTCTACTGAATGAATATTGTTTCACACCACTGTAAAGCAGAAAAACCATTAGTCAAATTCCTCATCAATCAGGGACCATCTGTAATCCCCACCATAATTCTTTGCGGTAAGTGCATTGATTATTTACATTTTTCAGATAAACTGAGACTTAGAAAGTCACAAAAGTACTAAAGGATAGCCGGGTGTGGTGGTGCATTCCTGTAATCCCAGCACTGGGGAGGCTGAGGCAGGAGGATTACGGAAAGTTCAAGGCCAGCCTGGGGTAAATAGTGAGTTTAAAACCAGCCTAAAGTACATAACAAGACCCTATCTTAAAAGAAAGAGACAGAGAGAGAGAGAGAGAGAGAGAGAGAGAGAGACAGAGAGAGAGAGAGAGAGGGAGAGGAAGGAGGGAAGGAAGGAAGGGAGGAAAGAAGGAAGGAAGGAAGGAAGGAAGCCAGTGGATTTGCACCCATGCTACTGTTGCTCTTGACTACCAATTTTATTTACTGCCCCATACATTGACCTGGGATACACAAAGACCAGGTAAAACTACAGCAAAGATGGAAAGATATTTTTCACAGGTTACTGCTAATCTTCAGGACAATGGTGCAGAAATGCATTGTATGTTAGGTTTTACAGAACAGACATTTGAGACAGAAATTTAAGTAACTTTCTCAAAATCACTCAACAAGTTATAGGTGACCAAATTTTGACAGTGAGCACAGCTGGATCCCAAAGATCAAACTCTTGGAGATCTTGGGACTACTTTTAAAGTTCTTATGATTGAAGATCTCTATCTGTAATAACAACTATAGATTAAAAAAAAAGTCAGACCACACATGACATGCACTGAAATTCTAAAATGACGTTGGGGTGAATGGAAAGGCATTTCCTTTGCAGCAGCCATGATACTAGGGTTTCTGGATAAATGAACTGATTTAGTCCTCACTGTGGAGGATTAGGGAGATCAGAAAGTCTGCCCAAGACGACTATATTAGAAAGAGAAAGAACTAGAATTGACGAAGCCATTCTTAATCCTTTAAATGTACTTGGATACATTTAACACATGTGGCCTTAGAGACTGTATACAAGTCCCTGGCAGAAATATCTCTCTTGCTATTGGTATGGAGAAGACCTAGACATATGCTGGGTGTCCAGAAAGAATAAATGAAATACAATAAAGTGAGAGGAGAAGGGCTGCCTAAAGTCAAAAACCCAATTTCGGGCCAAGAGCAGTAGATAAGCAAACGGAAGCTCACTGCTTGTCATTGCTTCCCCATTTCATGTAAGTTCCTTGGGTGCTAGAGAAATGAAGCCAACATCATTGCCTGAAAGAAGCCATTTTGGTTATCTGCTACCGTAAAACTTAGTGATTTAAAACACCCACCATTTAAGGGCTGCCTAAAGTCAAAAACCCAATTTCGGGCCAAGAGCAGTAGATAAGCAAACGGAAGCTCACTGCTTGTCATTGCTTCCCCATTTCATGTAAGTTCCTTGGGTGCTAGAGAAATGAAGCCAACATCATTGCCTGAAAGAAGCCATTTTGGTTATCTGCTACCGTAAAACTTAGTGATTTAAAACACCCACCATTTAGATACAGGCCATGTTTTGTGGGTTGAGAGTTCGGGCAGGGCTTGGCTGGGAGATTCTCTTGTCCGCCGGAGCACTGATCGGAGTCACTCAGTGGTGTCCATCTGATGCCTGGTCTGAAGAGTTCAAAGTAGTCTCACTGCCATTTGGTCCCTGGGTGCAGACAGAGGGAAGCTAGGGGCCTCTTCTTTGCATGTGGTCTCAGCAGGGTGGCCTAGGGCTCCATTCATGAGCCAGTGTGCTCAGAGATAAGAGTGGAAAACATCGGACCCTTAAGGCACAGCATCACTTCTGGCTCATTCTGCTGTTCAAAGTAATCACAGAACCCACGCACATTCAAGTGAGGGAACCTAGACCCCAGCCCATGACAGAAGGCTTCTCCAAGATCTTGGGGCCTGCTTTAATTCACCACAGGACCATAGAAAATATTCACTCAGCACCTTCAGACCCTTTTCACTTTGCATCAAATTCATTGAAATTTCTGAGGAACCCTTTGCACTTCCCTAACTTGCAGATGAGATGATATTTTTTCCTTTGTGTCATTATTATCACCCTTTCTCCCTTGCAGGTCTTTCTGCAGCCTCCCAGGACCATATAACAGGTAGGAACTTGTTCAAAGTTGAAATGGTGTCTTTATGTCAAGAGGTCCTCCCAACAGAAGTCATTGTGTCAGGGATGTGGCACAAAGGAGACACTGGCCCGGTGTGGGCAGGGACCTACTTGTCTGTGGCCATTCTGTGAATGCTGACTTCTTAACAAGGAGGGGGCTGGGAAGAAGGGATATGATCTGCCTGGGTCAGAGTAGGCAGCGGGGTGGGAAATGAGGGGAGAATACTGCGGTACACTTGTGATGATTATGAGAAATTCACTGCCCAGGAGCTTCAGGACCAGGCTAACCTGGCCCGGATATTGTCACCTTCAAATGTGATTAGTAACAAACCAACAGGATGCCCAGAAACATCACCACTTTCTGCCATCCATCTCAGGATAGACTAGGAAACTTTGGCACTCTGGGAAGGATTACAAGTTGGTCAAATGGAGAGAAAAAACATTAAGCCACTTCACGATATTTAGGGACACCCAGTAATGAATGTCACTGTACTGTATACCTAGAATGTACCAATAAATTCAATTTAAATTTAAAAAATAATAATACTTATGGACAAAGTAAATAAAGTGTATCACACTTTCAAATTTCCTCCAAAATAATTTGATGATTCTAAGTATTGTGCTTCTTTATGTACTGTGTTTCTTTAAATATGCACATATATAATATATGTGCCCATCAACTTATACTAATATGGCAGCTAAAATGCAAGAATTAGATTTCAGTGTTATCTTGTTTCACTTACAAGTCCAGAAACTTGCAAGTTCAGGACTGAATATACTGAATAAAGATAATGCCACGCAGGCAGAATATGATAATGAAATACTCAGAGGCAGAGCCAGTCATAACCTCCCGAAACAGTACACAGTGTCCCTTTGTCTTCATGTCCAATTGATCAGATCCCAAAGTTGTTCCAGAGCCTCTAGCTCCCCAGACTTCCTCAGACTGTGTCCTCACGCAGGCCTGTGTAGCCTGTCCCTATGTCCTTCCCAATATCTCATATATACCTATTCTCCATTCTATCAAGCAAGGTGTCTTTCCACTTTAGAAAGGGAGAGGGGCAGTAAGCAGAAAGGACAAGAATAGCATTTCTTTATCAGGTGTAGAAGGAGAGGGAAAGACAGGGAATGCTCACTCTGCAATATTTTTTGACCCATCAAAATTAGATGGAACAGACAGCCCTTCCCAACAGATATTTAAGCTAAAAATCTTCTCCGCCACCAGCTCCACCTAACCATTCAGTCTGAGCTGGGCATTGCTAGGATCACTCAAGTGACATCACGTGGCCACATCCTGACATCCTTTTCCTGTTTTTTCAGGAGGAAGTAATTCTTGTGGAGGGGTCATTTCTAGTCTCTCTGGCTCATTTTCGAGTCCACAGTATCCAGAAAACTACCCAACAGACATCCAATGTATTTGGGAGATTCATGTGGATAAAAAATTCCACATAGAACTCATGATTCCAAGCTTGAAGTAAGAAAACAACTTTTAAAGGGAAGGTTTTATCTAAATAAGAATACTGGTGTATGACATTATAACAAAGATATTTCTTCTAGTGGGAAACACTTAAGGGTGAAACCAGAAGAACATGAAACTCTATAGTTTTTCCTAGTCAGTCATTGTTTAGCTTAATTTTGTAGTGCTCTACAGGAAGTCAGTTGGAGCCTGAAAAACTCAATAAGTAGTTTAACATATTTAACCTAACCTAATATGATAGCTTTCCTTTTTATTTTTCCTTAAAAGTGCTTTGTCCCTGTAGTGCACTATGTACCTACGTTTGTCCTCTTTGACTTTCTTTTTAAATCTAGATTTAAACAAACAGTAAGAGACATATACATACATTAGACAGTTACTCCAGCCTTGAGCTGTAAGAGAGGACAGCTATTGCTTCCTCTCTGACATGCAGAGAATAGATGGCCCAAAGCCACTTCTATTTTTATTTCCATGATATAAAATAATAGTTCACATTTTAAAATACTGATTTTGTGCCCAGGCTCTAGCGTACATGCTTTCCTGCTTCATTATATTTCAGGTCATTACAAGCTCATCATCCCTATTAAAGATGAGGAA